GGATTTCGTCTAGCAGTAAAGCTCTGTACTCTTTGAATCCTTCGTCAATCAGGAAATTATTGTCAGTTACTCAAAATCTAACTTCGTCGCAAAAATATTATCGTGACCAAAAGTTCAACTGCATTGAAGAAGAAGACAAATCCTCGTCTACGAGTAGAGCTCTACTATAAGGCCGAAGATCTTGTTGGAACACATATCGGACGACGATTGTCCTGAATCGATAGATAAGAGGACTGCGATCACGGTGAAAGGTCGTACCAACAGGTATTCTACTAAATTTGTTTAGTGGAAGTGATATCTTCTTGTCACCTTTGAGTTATCCTGTTTTTTGTGCTGGCTCACGATAGTGAAGAGATATTTGTGAACGACGAAACTGCAAGACAATGTAGGCAGTACATCACTTTACTGATTGTTCATGTCGAGAAGAATTTCGACATCCGGAAATACTACAGGGAATGCTAGAATCGCTTTTATCGAAGAGGAGATATTGTAGCTTAACTCTGCGAACTCCGGTGAACTCTCTGCGGTAGTGGACGGTTTTGGACCACCTGGCTTGACTATTCTCGGACAAAAGCAAAGGAAACCAACTCATCGAGCAGAGAATAACCGAATATCCATACGCGAATTATATTTAGGGTAGTTATCCCTGACGTGAGGTGTTTGGCGGTAGGAAGAAGCAGCTGCTATAGACGATACCGCAAACTCACACTAGTAGCATATTCCCATTCCTAATATTGTACACATCTATACCACTTTTACTGATGGCGATATCGTTAACCATCTCAAAACCCGGCAGAATATCTCCTTATTCTATTCACGCCCCGATTTCATCGTTTTCGGAGCCGATTTGTCCACATCGGTTGAGCACAGTCATTTGCCCATCATAGCGATGTGGTTCTCTGTATTCGCATAGTGTCGAATCCTTCTATGTGGAGCGCTGCTCGAATGAGAGGAACGGTTGTTGGAGATACTAACCTGTTGATGACAACGTGTTTTAGCCAGAGTATCCTTGCTGTTGTGGCTGATATTAGAGTGGCTTGCATACAGCGAATAATATTTTTAAAATGTGGTGCTCTACTCTGGAAGATTGAAGCGTTCACAGCTATGAATACATGTACGCATGAACCAACGACTTTGGACCGTCGACTCGAGTCAATAAGATCTAAAAGGCGAAGATGTCGAAAAGTAAGCTAGATAAAGAGCCTAGAATTTCTATAACAAGCTCATGCAAGGTCATAAATGAAGAATGGTAAACTTCCCGCTCTTTCGCTACAGACTTGGTTAATAGATTCACTTGATGGTAACTACAATACGCTAAATATCTATTCCTCACACCACATTTTTAGGCAATTTATGTTATTAGCCGAATATTGCAACAAGAGGTAAAAAGAATAAAAGGATAGAGCTCTTGGGGTTGATCAATCCCTGAGAGATACTCCATGCATTCGCCTTCAATAAGCATCGTTGGAGGTGACTGTATGCACATCTGGCCTTTACCAGCCTTTCTCGAGTACCCCTTTATCGATGTATAGGGTATCAAACCAGTGCTGTTAAGCTCCCAGACAAGTCTGGTACCAATTTGCCGATGGACGCGGAGATCGATTCTACGCGTGAGTCGCAGTGGCGCTTCCAGTCACTGCACTACAAGAGCCCTTACAACAGAAGGTATGGTATATGTGCTAAGCTGCACCTTATTTGAATGCATGGATGACATATGTTCGAATTCCTGATAATGCCGCCTCAGGCAATAGTAGCGCGAAGCGAACAAACTGGCAAGAAACCGAGATGGAATTACTCGGGAAACACACGGAGAATCGTATTTCCTCGACATCGATCAGTATATTGTGAGCAATCTTACGAATTTGTCCACCGTCACCGCCGACACGACACCAGATCGGGTGTAACACCAGCACACCGCTGAGGTCTGCAAAAATTGTCGGTCGTCAATTACTGAAGGTCTATGAGATTTCAGAAATCTAACCACACCCCCTCACGGTAGGATTTCGAGCGCCGCATGAAACGCACATTTATCACTGGCATATATCGTGGCGAAAACGAGTCCTTTGCTTCGCTGTGGATTACTCGCAATCCGTTTTTGCACGCTTGAGTGAGCTAATCATGGGAGGCAGTTATAGCCGTCAAATAAGAAAGCTAAAAGTGGACTGTGTTGCAGAGGCCTAACTTGGAATGGCTTGGCTTTGCTACTTTTCCATCCATTTGCTGACGAAGATCACACCTGGAGACTAGAAGTTTTAAATGCTGCAGGAAATTTTTTCTGCTAAGTGTGATAAAATTGTTATAGAAACTGTAGTCCCAAGAAGACGCAGGGACGAAGGTTTGGACCACGGATCCTAAGCCGTTAAAACATAAAAAAGATTAATCTCCAGACGTTGGTCAATCCTTAAGGGATGGGCCATGCATACGACTTCTTTAAACATCGCTAGAGGTGAATGAACGCATATCAGGCGTTCACAATGACTCGCGCTGGCCTACCAATGTATCGAGCTGTCATCCTCCCAGACAAGTCTCGTACCAATTTGCGGACTTTGGGGGGATGGAGGGCTTGGGGCGAGCTATGACTCCGAGGTGGATTCCATATGTGCGTTGCAGGGTACCTCTGACCACTGCGCTGCTGTCGCCTATTTTTTCTTTCACGTTCCCGATCGTGATACCGATGTCAACAGCCATCATGACTTAGTACAAGGAGGGCCATTGTCCATCCTTAACAATTTACAGAATCATTTTTCCCGAATAGCTTCAGTGGTCGATAATATGGGTAACAATTAACTGTAATGAAGTAAGTGCATCTATAAAACGCTGTTTAAGAAAGCCCAGTCCAGAGAATTCGGTAACGATAATCGAAATACCACCGAGTAATCTAAGGCGCCAGCTAGTTCGTAACCGCCTATACGACCGTCTATGTGCAACGAAAAATTGCATAATATGCCCCAATGGTAGAGACGGTGACTGCATGAGTTCGGCTACAGTCTATCTGATCTCTTGTAAAGCGTGCGGGGACGAATACGTTGGCGAAAAGGGTAGATCACTCTGCGTACGTATAAAAGAACACCTAGTCGGCAAACGTAAGCCAAGTACTCTACTAGGTACGCATGGCACGCAGAAACATAACGGAGAAGATTTTGAAGTAAGGGTTACGATCCTCGCGAAAGAATCGAGAACACAAGCGCGCGAAACTCTAGAGGCATTCTGGATTAATTCCAAGAATCCGAAAATGAACCGCAGAGATGAATGCCTCATTGTTACGCGTGATATTCGACAGTATATAAACCTAGTATTCTGATGGAAGAGGCACATTACGCTTCCATGTGAATTCTGTGCGGTCGGTCTTCACGCGACATACTCAGTGGAAGACTCATAGAAAGCGGTGAGTGTGCAGAGCTATGCTAAATGTGATTGAAATCTTGGTTTAGCGTTTTTCTGTTTGGTTATGGAGGTGTTTGGCCGAGTGGATTGCTGTCAACTTGACCCTTCCAGGCTCTGAAGAAGGCGAAATCCGCCGAAACGTCAGCTCGTACGTAAATAAAGAAATAAAATAGCACCTCGTGTTTGCTGAACAGAAGTAGAAAGATATATTCAATCAATGCCGAGGTTAATAGACAGTCGGACTTGGAAGCTACAATTAACTGTGATTTCGTTTTATGATAACGTATTCTATTGGACTAGTCACGCAAAATGGCGCAGAGACGTTATAGATGAACTATCATCATCCGACAATTCAAGGTGGATCATTCCTTTCTCTGTGGTGTCACGTTCGACATTCTTCACAAGATGTGGATTATCCTGCTCTATTTCCAAGTAGTGACAATCACTTCCCCTTTACTCTCTAAGAAATTTTGGTACTTTGATTTGAAATTTGGTTATATACGGCTGTATTCATGTTTGCAAAGGAAAGGAGGAAATATTGTTTCTTCTGATATTATTAGCTCTCGAACCTGCTCATACCATGCTCTCATCTCCATGGAATGGAAATAAACTTTATTGCAATAGTTGCTAAAGATTCTGAGAGTTTCGTCCGAAAGTACGGGTAAGTTGATGTCCACTTCGTCGTTGTGATCGTGGTGTCGAACCGTCGAAGAAAACGAGGTGATTGCAGCGCTACTTCTGGTATTTGTTCTTGTGCAACGTTTCTAGATTTATGATTTATAATGTCTATGTACATAATGAATCAGAGATTCCACAAAAAATGAAGAGGTATCCTAGCCTCTTCTTCTCGTTTTCACATGTGTGTGGAGTCGGTATCAGAGCAATCATTACAGCAATAAATGTAAACGTGTAAACGCCATAAATATATTGACCCTGTAATCTTACTCATCATTGCAAATCGAAACTTGTACCAACAATTCTTCTTGTTCAGGTTGAAATGTAATGAACTACAACAGTAAAGCCAGTTTCACTGACGTCTTGTTCGTCAAACAACGACGAAGGCGACTCAGTACTTTACATTCAAGGATTGCGTCAACTCGTTAACATTCTCCTTCTTCATGATGTCCTAGTTCCAAAAAACCACAAACATGCCTCGGAATGGCATATACTCGAGAATTTGAAATCCGTTATAGTTCATTCATTTTCGCCACAAACCTAACCAAAACTAAACGAGCCTCACACTGCAGTAAATGATCGCCAACTCGCCTATAAAAGCTTTAAATTTTACGGCGATGATCAATCCCCATGGTATACACCATTCATTCGACTTCATTAAGCGTCGTTGGAGGTGACTAAATGTACATCTGGCCTATAGAGTGACTCGCGGTGGCCTAACAGTGTATCTTCCCAAACAAGTTTGGTACCAATTTGCTGACCACGGAGGGATGGAAGGCTTGGTGGGACTTGGATGCGGCGATCGATACCATATGTATTGCAGGACGCATACGACCACTGGTCTACATGCACCACAAACCCGTCTTTACGCGAATATAAGCCAGAGATCGTTATTTCATTATTTTACATAACTTTATCGAGCAGAATCGGCAAATAACTGGATGAAGATTGAAAACCTCAAGATGTTAGTGAAAATATGGATTCCTGCTCCAGAAGCGGCTGCACCAATCTCTACTGCAACAGTATCGTACACACTACGTAGATGCACCTGAACGTTTTTCTTCCTGAAATCAAACGACGTCACACTCAAGCAGGCCAGTCACTGGAATTCTACCCTCTAAAAAGAAAAAAGCAACCCACAATCTATTATTGAGGCCGGAAAACGTGCGACGAATGTTGTCGAAGAAGTTAGTAGCACCTGGACTACTGGCACGATTCCTCCTGAAAACGTTCAATCACGTTGTCAAGGAATCCCACTTAGCTATCCATCATTTTGGGATCGGGAAATTGGAACCAGACTTGTCTGGAAGGACAGGTGCACTGGCCCAATGCAACGTTAGGGCACCACCAATAAAGCCAAATATGCATTCAATCACCTCCAAACGATGCTTAATGAAGCCGAATTCATGGCGCATCCCTCATGGATTGATCCACGTCAAGAACATTATTCTCTTATCCTTTACCGTTTGCGCGCTCTGTGTTATTATCTAAGTGACTTAATAGTGAACTAAATCGCAAAGAAGAATAACGCTGCACCACTACTTAGAACACAGTAAGCTCTTCGATAGATAAGCTGGCGGTTTTCTTCTAAGAAAGCCGTTTTCCCTGCTCGTCCAATCTTCTTGGATACTGTCGCGCTATAAAGATCTTACACTTCTACATCACCGTCTAGTAGGAACGCCTGCAGAATACTTCTGTCGCTGATATTCACAGACGGAGAGCAATAAACAAAGGCATATAAATAATATAACTAACTTGGATACTTGGACGGTCCGTCTTCACCAGTAGTGCGGACACCCGTATATGTGCCATTCGTTCCTTTCTCTCGTAATCGTAGTCTATGGTGGTGGTCTTGTTCGATGGTAGCGCATTCGGGTCTCATACCGTGATCTGTGAAACAACTGCAGCTGCGGGCACAGCTGCTTAACTTTGTTTACGAACACGCCCGCCCAGCGTGTAGGTGGTCGTCATAGTGGACGTTTGCACTCTCCTAAAGTCCACTCTTCTGTTCGTTTCGTCCATCTGTCGTCCGTTTTTTTCATTATGTGAGCGGCCCATTTATGTTTCGCTGTTGATGTATATTCTCCTGGATCTCGAAGATGTGACAGATTTCGAAAGTCAGAGCTTCGCATTACGGCTAGATATTAAAAGTGCCGGTTATATTTCAAAAGACATCGCTCAAGCACTCTGTGAGTAGTGCGAAGCATTCCTGACGTAGCTGAACCATCAACCCACGTCAACGCAGCATAACAGTGCGCTGGGCGAACCGCAGAATCAACGATATAAGCGCGGATTTTCGGATCCTTCCATGGATCGGTGTCTTCTTCGAGAGGTCCGAATGCGATCCGAATGCGGGCCAAGCTGCTCACCTTCCTCTATCTAGTTTTTCCTTCATGTTGTTTTCCTCGTTGATTCATCGCGCATGGTATACGTACGAGGTGGTTTCAGCAATGGGAAAGCCATTTAATTCAAAATTTTTTGCCTTCGTATTATGTGTTTTCCAAGCACTGGGTCTTCTTTCGATTTATGCGCAGTCGGATCTTTCTTTACGCTTCGTTGAGCACATTGGCAATAGTCTACGCTTCGCTAATACTGCTTGAAAAAATGACAATGTCGTCGGTAAAATGAATGTTTGATAGGAATATTCCATCATTACTTATGCCTTTCTCATCGCAATCGAGCGACTTCATTATCCACTGCAGTGCAGCACTGAACAGCTTTGGCGATATTGTGGCGCTCTATCGAATCCCTTTTCCTACTGGTATGGTAACAGGTCGATGGAAAAGCTGTATTTTCGTAGTGCAGTCCCCATGGCAGTCAAACAGAGTTCTTATGTAGGACGGGTCCACTCCTTTGACGACGAGCGCTGATAGGATTGCATCCGTTTCGACGCTGTCAAACGCTTTTTCTTAGTCGACAAAGATTGGGACTAAAGGGAAGTTGTACTCCCGATAAACTTCGATGACCCTGGGCACGGTTTAGATGTGGTCCGTGCAGCAAAATGCTTTTCGAAATCCTGCTTGCTCGACTGGTTGCGCCACATCTAATGCCGTCGATATGCGCGAGAGAATAATATTCGTCAACACCTTATTGGAACCTTTTGAAGAAAGGCTGTCCTATGATTTGCGAGAAGTACATATAAATTATGGTCTCCAGCACTAAAGCAATCAGCAGTGATATTATTGAGTCTTGGAGCTGTGCCTCTTTTCATGCTTTCTATTGCAACTCGAACCTCCGATGGAAGAATTGTAGGTCGTCTTTGTCCAGCGGGGATATAGAGACCCAAGACCGGGACGGGCATTGTGGAACGTAGAACGTTGGTGTAGAGCCTTTTCTCTATTAATTCCATATAATGGCCAGAAGTTTTGAGGATCTCATCTTCGCTCATCAGAGCTGACAGCGGAACATTATAATCACACAAGTTCCGCTGGTATTTTTTCAGGCTGCTTCTTTTCTCTGCTGCTTCTAGTAATTTCTTCTGTTTGTAGCGTTGTAGATATTCCTGCAAAGCTCTTCTGCAGCTGGCATTTATTACTAGCCATGTTAAATGTGTTGCAGTGGGATCAACCTTCAGTTTCCTTCTCTTTTCGAGCAACTCCTTAGTAGTGATTGAGATGCGATCCGATCTTCCTTGTTGAGGAACTGCGGTGAATTCGTCACTGTTTTTCAGTCCTTCGACAAGCAGCTCGTATTCTTGGGTCGGGTCTTCTTTAATGTGCCGTCGATGTTTGGATAGGACTTCGCTCAGAATGTTCTCGTCGTATACAGCTAGCTTTTTCCTCGTGGTTGATCGAGAAAATTCATTTCCAGCATGTGGCTGAATCGAATCTTCGCGCCAAGAAGGCAGTGATCGGTACCAGTGCAAAATGACGGGACTACCGTTGTGTCAAGTAGGCACCATCTTCTGTTTGTCAGAACGTGGTCGATTTCCGCATGACTCATGCCGTTAGGAGACTCCCATGTCCAGTGGCGTTTTTCTTTCCTCTGGAAAAACGAGTTTCCATGGAAGAGACGTGCTGCGGACAGGAATCTTGCGAGACGGTTCTCATTCCCATTTTTTCTCCTAATCCAAAATTTCCGATACTGCATTCGCTCTCGTTGGCCTTTCCTATTCAGGCGTTTAAGTCTCCGACAACAAATTTATGACATGCTTTATCATTGCGGATGGGCTCTTCCGACTGATAGTGGAACGCATTTAATTCGTACTCGTCAACTGCGCCGGTCGATGAGTAGCAGTTGATGATAGTGATTTTCTTGTGATGCGAAAGTTGAAGACGGAGGACGGCTATGCGAGGGAAAAGGATCTCGTATAGTCGACGAGATGGACTATGGACAGGTGGACGATAAAGCCTATACCGCCGACATTTAGTGACGAGACATTTTCTCCACGGATCACAACGGTCCCATTGCATAGTTGGCGTATGTCCTTCTTCTTGATTTTTGTTTCTTGTGATGTGATCACATGAAATTTAATGCGATCTGCGGCTACAAGAAGGGCCAAAAGATCGGCTCCTATGGAGAGTGTTCTAGCATTATACATGTATAGTAAGAAACAATCACAATGGGCTATCGTGCCGGTGTTCGTCAGATCCGATTCCAATGACGTCCTGCATAACTCGAGATTTTCTGGCCTCTCATCGGTACTCTCACCGCCTGACGTCGTAGACGGGAGCAACTAGTGTGTGGGGTACTGAGGCTGCCCTATTGCTGGTCGTGGAACTTGGTCCTTCCTGGAGTCCTTAATTAACCTTGCAAAAGCGGATCCAGGTCTTCACCACGATCTGGTTCAGAGGGTGGTGCGATTTTGACGTCGAATCATTCGTTCTGTCTTCCTACTAGTTGAATCGGAAAGGTGTAAAACCGAAATGAAAAACGAAAGTAGGATTAAAAAAGTAAACGGCAGCTCTCAAGGACAAGCCGAATCAAATAATATAAATAAATATTAAATAGAAAAAATATAAACCTTCGGTGTTGACCAATCTTTGTGAGATGCGCCACGCATTAGACTTCATTAGGTGTCACTGGAGGTTACGGAATGAAGATCTGACCTATACAATAACCCTTTTGGCCTGCCAATGTATTCAGCCAGTGTTACTGTCTTTCTAGACAAGTTTGGTACCGATTTGCCGAACCTTGGAGGGTTGGAAAGTTGGTGAGCTTGGAGCGCGTGGATCAATCTTATGTGTATTGTAGGGCGCCTTTGAGCACTGCGCTACCCTTGTTCCCTGTAATACAGTGGCAAATCTCATAATAAAGTAAATATTTCCGATATTTTCTATCTGAAAAAAGCGGGCACCACGGCAATAAAGTGGTCAAAAATATTTCAATAATTCATAAAAAAAAATAATAATAACAAGTGATTAAAAGGTTTTCATTGTTACTGCGATCACCGTTCCCAGTGCTTGAGCTCTGTAAACACGAGATTCATAATTTAAATATCACTTCAATTCTCTGTACTAAGTCGGCCTCCGTCATTCCTCGGCCTACTGGCAAGAACACGCTAGTGCGTTAAGAAAATATGCATTCTTAAGATGCTAAAGTTTTTTTCATTAATTTAGACCATTCATTTGTATTCACTCCTTTCATACTTATTCTCAGCTCTTAAAGACCGTACCACTCCGTGCTGTTTTATAGAATTACAGATAGACTAAGGTGTTGAGAAACACCCTATTTGATCGAAATCTCTTTCAGAAAGCAACGGAATACAATGTGCATCAGCTGTGTCCTGGCAGTTTGGCTGTCGGCTGAGGAAGCAACAGCAGTTCGTGGTATTTCTGCTAATAGAAATAACTCTACGTTGGATTTTAAATGTTCTACTGGGCGCGTGATATCATGGTTATGGAGGTAAACATCATGGATGCTTTCAAAATCTTGTGAAACGTCTCCATAGCGGACCCCGCGAAGCAAATAGACGTGCACCATTGTAGGATTTTTGCCGTTGAGTTCGTTACTATTCCTAGAATAAAAGTTACCACTGATCGCATCATGTTAAACTGGTTTATGCGGTCATACAAAAGTATCTCTGTGATCGTCCATTATATGACTTTAATTAACTGCCAAGCGACCATCGTGCTCAACTGGCTGATGTGAATGAAGAACGCCTTCAAGCCAGAAATGGGCATGCTTCCCTAGGACCACGAAGATGCATTAATCTAATAGACACCAAGGTTATATAAATTCAACGCATTGGCATCAAATGAGCATTCTTAAAATATCACAGCCATTTAACCTACATCATGACTGATGTCGTCCTGGAAAAGCGTTTTCGTGAGTGTAGCTTGCTCATATGACTGGTTAAAGTTCTATAAATACTCTCAAGGTGAAAATAATTGGATCAGTGTCTGCATGCATTGGGTCTAACAGTACCAACTGATGACGAATCCCACTCAACGTTTTCCGTATTTTTAAAACGTCGTACTCTAATAATATACGTTACTATGAGATTGCAAAGCGAGAGCGCGTGTAGTGTAGTGGTCAGTGCTTCAGCGTAAGAGGGGATATTGTTGCAAATCAACACTAACCCCACATTTCCTCATCGAGGTAAGCTTTTTCTTGCTTGCATCATAGACAGGTGAGCTGTAGTCGCATTTCGAGTGCCCGGTGAATGTCCTCCGATGGGTCGAATACGTCGTTTATTCTTCTTCGTTTGATGAAGTTTGAAGAGACTCGGTGATTTAGGCAGCGGCGAAGAGAGTGTGTTGCTTATCAAACGAAGACCAAGACCAACTTCGTCTAGTGTCACACTTGTTTTTATTCGAAAATTCAGTAGCAGCGTTTGAAATACCACCGAAGACTCTAAAGTGCCAATAATGGAAGGTTCGAAAACTTGCATAACGTGCCTTAATGTTAGAGAAGGCGATTGTCATCAGTTCGTAGACGACAATCCCGACTTCCTGTAAAGAATCTAGAGACAAATATAATATGGAACGGGGGACTCTTTCCCGTCCTATATAAGCATAGATAGTCACGCATTGGATATGAGTGAGCGCACAGTATAAAAGATTTTAAAATCGAAATTACTATGGTCGCGCAGGAATCCAAACTGTCGGTACGTGAAAGCGTTGTGGCGTTTTGCATAAAATCCAGAGACCCAAAAACGAAACGGTAGGGGTACTGACCCGTAATCATGTGTGACATCGTGCTGTAATCAAGACTGACATTAGACTTTGCGCAGTAACATTCTCTAACCATGAAGTGCACTGTGTGGCTGTTTTCCAACAGTACCTGAAACCTTTATGGAGATGTAATTGTATGAAAGTAAACGCATGTTGTTTTACAACCTCGCGTTTGCTGAGGAAGGAAACGACGAATTTATGCTCTTGTGAAGGAAAAATCAAAACACTCACTGTTAGGATGTGATTTATGTAGTCGGTCCATGAACATCTGGGAATTCGCTGGATGATTTGGGATGTGTTTTAACAGTTACTAGTGTTGAGAACCACGTTATTTTGCCTGTTGGCCTATCAACGCATCCAGTGATAGGTTTTACCTTGAATAACGATGAATTAGGCACAAGATCATCACTTGATACAAACTTGTGATTTTGTTCGTATTTTTTGAGCAAACGCGAGGTGTTATTGTTCTTTGTTCACGATTAAGCTGACGTTTCGGCGAATTTCGCCTTCTTCAGAGCCGCTTTCTATGAGGTCTCCACTAAGTATGTCACGTAGAGACCAACCGCATTTCCCTCTACACCTATTCTGAGCTACGGTTTCGTAGCTATTAGAAACGGCTATTTGCCGTGCCAAGTTCCGGGACTCCTCTCTCTGCTCTCTTCCCGTGCACACGTTGGTTGCTGTTCGAAACATGTTTCTTATAAGCGCCCTTTTCGTGTGAGAGGGGTGAGAGGAGAGGTAATGAACCAAGATATTTTTACTACTTGGCTTTCGGTACCACTTTGTAATGTAGCCATTTTCTGATAGGTGAATTTGTACGTTCAAAAATGGAAGCCATTTTTCTTTCGGCTTTTCTCGGGTGAACTTGATATACTCTGACTGTGAGTTTAACAATTGTCTACGCACTTGTCTACGAAGCCGACAAAACCAGATGTTCGCCAAGTCGAAGAAGTGCGAGACGAAGGAAAACTTTTGTACTACACTTTTGTACTTTTGTACTTTATACTTTTGTACTACATTATACTTCCACGTGATTTCTGTGCGGTTGGTCTCTACGTGACATACTTAGTGGAGACCTCATAGAAAGCGGCTCTGAAGAAGGCGAAATTCGCCGAAACGTCAGCTTAATCGTGAACAAAGAACAATAACACCTCGCGTTTGCTCAAAAAATGCGAACAAAATCACTTGATTAATGCCGAGGTTAATAAAAAGTCGGTCGTGGCAGTTACAAACGTGTGAGTTTTGATAGGTAAGTTCAAGCCGGCACTTATTGATAAACCAACTTTGAGTTCGAAAATAACTGACGCTTTCTTCGTTTTTTTCCATTTCTTTTCTTTTTTATTTAACCTTACTGGAAAAAATGTGCCAAAAGAAAAACCTTTCACTGTTACGAAATAAGTAATGATAATGAATGAGAGATAGAAAAATTTAATACTAGCACATTTAGGAGTACAGTTGCGAGATGGAGAAGTTGGCCGTTGAAGCAGTTAAGGGATAACCAGTGCCCACTTCGAAGAGCGAGGCGAACTACGAACTCTTCGAGAGGTACCAGTTTGCATTTCATTCGACTACTGAGGGAAGTTCGAGCGAAGTTCCATAGTACATTTCGAGTACTACAGTTTCAGCTTCAAACTTGAGCAAGAAACTATTGTTGACCGTCACTCCACCATAGCATTTCGAATATTGTTGCACTGGTGGTATAGACTTGAAACTCATGGGAAGGTAAGCGCTGCTGAGAATATTATCGACAGGAAAAAATGATTGCCTGTCTGAATACACGCTGCGATCCAATATCCCAAGCGTGGGTTGGGCAGTGGCTAGATGTCCAGAATTCAGTGGACGTCGCTGTCGCGTGGTTTTACGTCAAAATGTGAGGTGCATTTAAATTTAGAATTTCGAGGCTGAAAGTGGTCGAAACCGGCAGTTTGTTATCAGAATTCATGCGCACGAAGAATTCGCTGAGAATGAAAAACTTGCGTCTTTCAATTCATTTTTATAAGTATAAAAGAAAACTAGAAACAGCGTGTCACCTCGACGTTACCATTGCATAGGCCTTTACGCTTGAAATACCAGCTCTTACAACTCCGCTTCTGCGTGCTGTTTGTACTTTGTGAACGCTGTGAATGCTTATCAAGTTTTCCTTCCTATAAATTTAACTATATCTCCACAACTCTCCCGTATACAAGGAATTCCATGACATATATTCGTGACAAAAAATGGGAGCGTCGAAATGGATTGTGGTATAAATGCTCATTGTGCCAACAACTCATCACAACCGCTGTTGTCACTGGGGTGCTGTGGCTCCAAGCTACAACTAAGTGGCAGCCCAAGACCAACCACGACCACCACATGCCATGAAGAAGTAATTCACTGAGGGAAGATAACTGAGAAAGCCTCACGTAAGGACTTAGCAAGTGGACTAACTGATGCTCATTGATGATCTTCGTGATTTTATGAAAGAAATTCCACATCTTAGGGATTACGGGGAGTGAAAATATCGTCCAGATAAATGGATATTTAAATGGCCGCCTTCGGTTGTTGCGCTTTCTACTTATTATGTGCCTGGCGCATCTGTGTTTCGCTATCAATGTATATTGTCTAGCATCTCGAGGAAGGGAGAGATTCCAGAGATCTGATCTGCGCTTACGGACTAGTTGTTGTTAGTGTCCGTTAAACCTCAGCAAAAATCGTTTACACACTTGTGGGTGGTATGTAGACGTTTTAACGTAGTTGAAACATAACCCTACGACTTTGCTGCATAACACAGTGCTGGGAGGACTGTTAAATCGAGAAGGCGAGCGCTTAAATTTGGATTTGTTAATTGATCGGTAACTTCTTTGAGCGGCTCAAATGATGCACAAACTGCTCTCATTCCTTCATGTAGTTCCTCTTTCATTTTGTATTCCATGTTCATTGGACGCCCAAAGTGCACAAACGAGGTGATCTATGCAGTCAGAGAAACTGCCAGTTTGATTCCTTAGGATTTGCAGCATAAGTTCATCATGGATAACGTTGTCGACAAATATTTTAAAAAATCATGGTAAATCACCCATAGTGCAGTAAGTCATGTTGTTAACATCGTTTCCTAGCCTAGCACAAGGTTTTCGCTTATTGAGAAGAAGAATAAACCGGAACACGAATGTTCGCAAAGATGTGTTGGAACAGATGGAAAAGAGAAAAGTGGTTTACTGAAACTGCACAATCGAAAGCCGGACATAGAAGTGGTATTTTGTAATTTTTTTTGCCTCACTGCTTAATCCTTTATTCCTTTCCTGCTAATTTTTGCAAGCATTTACTTTCAGCTAATAATTGAAGTACTATCTATTATCACAATGATGCTGAAATACTCCAGGCCATATCCAAACATGTGATTCTCCTTTTCTGACCACTTGTGTTACCCACTCCACCTCTAAACACCTCGCTTTGACTTTCTCACAAGCAGTTTTTACACTAACGGTGTCACAAACAATTTCAGGCGTCTAGGGAAATGTTCTGCGGGCACAAATCGGCATTGGATCCAGTTAAGCTGAGAATGGAATTAAAATCACATTGAATAACTTCTAATTTACGGTCCATTCTTTACAGTCCTCGGATCGTTTCAGTTGGTGGCTGATGCTGATGGCGCCGTTAGAAAATCGGTTGAGCGAAAAGCAAAGAAAAGACCTCAGTATTGTAGTGTGTAAAACGTGATCCCTCGGAAAGTATAGCCAGGAATTCGAATTCGCTGTGGGGTCTATGTTTTCCAAATATCTCGGTATAATCGTAGTTGAATTGCACATGTCCTGTCATAAAAAATAAAGAACGGTAGATAGAACGTTATACTATGTATTGTCTTAAAGACGGTTCTTATTCTTAGCGTTTGGGTTTCATAAGCGAACACGAATACGTATTACGAATTTTTTCGAATGCAATAGTGTAACTGTCAGCTGGAGAAGCAGGCCGAGGAAGCAGCTAAGAGTTGCTCAAAAACTCTTCCAGAGAGCTTTGAGAACCAGGCGATCGGATGGTATTAACATACATTTTAAAACGCTATGGAAATTGAGTCAAAATGTTCTAGTATGCTCCATGCTTGGTAGTTCCAGACTTGATCTCACCGCTGGTCGTGCTGATGGTGATGTCGACGGCCTATTGTGGCTGCTATTCCGTAGAATGTGGAATAAATGGAAGAATGGAGTAATAATTTTCCTTCTTTAATATGTGGAAATGTTTTTCTTTGGAAAAAATTCTCTCTCTCTCTCTCTCTACGCGCTGGAGAATACGTCAACTGTTGGTGGCACCATAACTAAGTGCCCAAAGTGTAATGGAGTGCGGTTATCTTGTTGTGCGCCTACGGTACCACGTAAGCCGTATTTTCTCAAGAGTACAACTGAAGAAAACTAATTCGACAAGAGTTTTCGCAATAAGGGAATCACATAATGCAGCGGCATTTGAACCACAAGTTTGCCACCAGTGCAAAACTGGGACGTACACGTTAGGCTACTTTCTTTAATCTGGGTAATTTTTACCGCTTAATTCATGTTTATAGTCAAAAAAGATTATGAGGCAGCATAGCACTTGGACATTCATATGGATCACACGTTGACATCTATAATCGAGGCTCTGCTGCTAGTGACATATTAATATGAGTGGTTGCAACTTTCCACGTTGACTTCTAGAAAATCCTTTCATACTCGTTCAACTCTAGTATTATTTCACCAATGTCATCAGCTTGAACACTTGGTGAAACCTCTGCCTTCACCACCAACGACTAGACTTCCTAATGAGGTGGAAGGGGCGTAACAATCGATGGACGACAGCTTTTCTTTAGATAGGTTGAGTTGAGTGAATAGTTATTGAAATCTGATTTTTGACGTATGAGGTCGAGTTCTATGAGCAATTACAATCATTATCTTTGCTATTTTTTGTGCAGTTAAAGTGGGGGAGAAGGAAAGATTGGACCAATTTTTAATGAATGGCATCGCGTAAAAGTTCTAGTTTCTGTTCAAAATCGAAATCAAGTAATGAATGGTGGGAAACACTTTTGTTTTTCAGAAGACTCGGAAATCGCTGTATGAACGGTGGCCGTTTCAGATAGAATTGGTCAATAGTGGAATGTTGCTTATCGGTGCAGCACCTTCTCGTACTCTCAAAACTTGTCATAATAACAAGTGTTTCATCGGTTTTTTCGGAGTAAATGGTGGAAAACATTTCACGGATTCGCTTTGATGTTACTGAAAGCCGCACCATTAATCGATTTCAGAGGAAAATCCAGTAAACAAATAATACTTAAACCTTCAACGATGTTTCTCCGCTTCTGCGTGCTGTTTGTCCTTTGTGAACGCAGTGAATGCGTATCTAGTTTTCCTTCCTATAAATCTAATCGTATCCCCACAACTCCCCCATATACGAGGAATTTCATGACATTTATTCGTAACGAAAAATGGCAGCGACGAAATGGATTGTGGTATAAATGCTCATTTTGCCAACAACTCTTCACAATCTTTGTTCTCACTGGAGAGCTGTGGCTCCAAGCTACAACTAAGTCGCAGTCCAAGACCAACCACGACCACCACAAGTGTTTCATCGATCTCATTGGAGTAAATGGTTGAAAATATTTCACAGATTCGCTTTGATGTTCCTGAAATCTGCATGATTAATCGATTTCGCGGGAAAACCCAGTGAGGAAATATGGCTTAACCTTCAACGGGGTTTTTACATAAGTTTCTATTGTAGGTACTGTAGGTATAGGTATATTTCCGTGCAGTTGTCTTCATAGGACCTTCGATGACTTTAGTCGAGCGTCCATAACAGCTCTTTGTTGAAACTGGGTGGCCACAACGTTGTGCAGAATAAAAAATTTTTAGCAGTGCAGTGTAAACTTGTCGCTACTTGATATTTCATACTTGAACGGTCCGTCATCACTGGTTGTGCAAGCCCCAGCACAACCACCATTTTTCGGAGACTTGCTGGTTAAGCAATTGTGGTCCCCTGGAATGCCGAGGTCCGCCTGGCCAAAGAATGTCCCAGTTCTTCATCACCACAAACAGTCAAAGCCATTGTGGATCAGAGGAAAAGTTGCCACCATGCGACTAATTTCATACAAGGACGGTGGTGGATTCTGGTATTGGTTTTTTCTTAGCAAGGCATCAGATGGAAACGGCGGACTCCTTCTCAGCTTGAAAGACCCAGCCAGGTGGATGTATTGCCCTGCTGTGTATCGCAGCCCTTCACCTGGGGCCCCCTCTTAGCCACAATGAAGGGTGAACAGTTGAGAGGAAACTTGTAGCAACGCCGAAATATTGATTATCTGCAAAGATTAAACGACAACCGCTACTTACCACTACGAGCTCTGGAAATTATGCACCTGGACATAAAATTTCATGAATAGCTCAAAGGAACAGTCCCTGTACAGAGCCAACGCAGGTGCATAACAACATGACTATTGAGAAGCGTGTAGCGGGGTAGTAAATGCTCTGCAATAGACATGGGTTCGATCTCGCGCTTCATCCTCAAAAAGCTTTCCATTCCTTCAGGACCGGCAAATTGGTGCCAGACTTGCCTGGGAGGATAGTAGCATTAACGCGATAGATCTGTAGGCAAGCGGGAGTCATTTTATAGGCCAGACGTGTATTCAATCACCTTCAACGAGATGTATTGAAGTCGAATGCACGGTGCATCTCTCAGGAATTGCCAAGAGCCTTATTTCTTATGACGTATGCGGTTTGACATAAATGCATCTCGCAACAGTGACGTCATATGTAAAAAGCAATTCGTACCCGTTAATCATGCTTGTACCTTTGACAGGATATCGTAAGTACGACTGGTAATGTGACGAAATCGATCAGGACGAAGATCAGTACCGCTGTACTACCATGAAACAACAACTTGAGGGAAATAATCTACACAGTGGGTATAGACATGCGTGAAAATGCGACAGTCAAACAACCGCCTACAAACACGCTGTCTCCATTCATTTTACCCAACACTAGGAGCATTTTGCTATTGGCTCCTGTCGCCTGGTCACGAAAGCAGTTTCACATCTATAAGAACACTAGCAGAATACTTTACACTTGACACTTTAACGGCCCATTCTCACTGGCTGTGCGGGCCCCGGCATAATCACCATTTATCGGAGATTTCCTCTTAAGCTATTGTGGTCCTCTAGAATCCTGGGGTCAGCATGGCGAAAGTCTGCCCCAGATCTTCGTCACCACATGCAGCCGCAGCCCTTGTGGATCAGAGGGAGATTTCCTACCATGTGGCTTCTATACCAGGACGGTGGCGGATCGTGGTATTGGTTTACTCTTAGCTAAGCTTCATGATGGAAACTCCGTACTCCTTCTCAGCGTGGGAGACAATGCCGGCGGGACCAATTCCCCCGCTGTGCATCTCAGTCCGACACCCGGGAACACCTCCCAGCAACGATGAGGCGGTAAAGCCCATGGCAGAATACTTCCATGCTCAAAGATTATTAATAAAGAACGAGGAAATTTTGTAGAAGCACTAGACAAGTTTAAGAAGTTTTGCTTACATTTCAACCAAATGAACTCACAACGCCCTGCAGTTGTGTTTCGTAGCTGGCCCAATCGAGTACGTGCAATTCTTCGTCGACTGCACAAAACAGTTAAACTTGTCCCCGCCCCACTCCGAGGCCTAATGCGAATCAATACCTCTAACGACGCCGATTTCGCGACGGTGCACCACATTTTCCCGCCAAATTAAGAGCTCTTGGTGGCGTTCAACCTAATATTTTACTTTTATGTGAGTTTGCCACATCTCTTGAATGTATGTGCTATATACTTTGTTCCACCCACACTGCGTTTCAGTTGTCAATCTAGCAACAGCGTTGCTGACAGCATTTGGTTCCTTTTTCCTACTTGTGTAGTGTGGTTTATTTCATAATTTCTTCATTACTACGGCATTGACACACTCCGTACTCCATCGACGGTTCATCGCATTGTTGGTAAAAGAAATGACAATGGGTTGCTGGCTGAAAATTCAGTGCAGTACTCTTCCTGAAGTAGCGGACGATGTTGTTTCTTCTACAATTCCCAATCCTTCTTGACTAGGAATTGTAGTCGTCAAGTACATAGGCTACACGTTTACTACGTGATGTACGAGTTAAAGTTTGTTCAGTTGCTTTAAGAGTCCACTGCTGCTTGTTTCTGCATACGGTTGTCTAAATGTGAGATATAAGCGTCTTTTTTGGTTGCTTCGAAGAAGGACATTGTTTTATATTCCAAGGTCTTTCATGTGAAACGTGATTTTGTCCTTTACTTCTTGTTGTGTCTCGTTTTTATCGCTTGCCAAATCCTTCGTTATTGGACCCGATCGTCGTTTTTGGAGGGCCATGATTTTTGTAATCTCGGTAATCGCAATACACACTCTTTTTTAGTCTGTGTCCTCAGTTACGTCTTGGTTCCATGTCATTCTCTGACTTTCAGGTGCAAGCTTTCAAGTATGGAATATTGATTCCAGTAACCTAATTCGAAAGCAGGTTACTGCATCTAGTACTAATCTAGACAGATCTATCTAATCTGTCTAATATAATCTATTTATTAGGGAGGACAATGTACGGACAAAACTTACCATACGTCGTCATATCACTGCAACAATGAAAGGTAATCAGGGCATTCTGTCTGATTCGAAGTGTTACTGTCATTTCTATTATCATTATTATTATTATTATTATTATTATTATTGTCAGTATTAGTACTATTATTACTAATACCCTCATTTACACGACCCCTCATCACACCAACTATGGAGGTCTCAGCACTTCTTGTACTCGATTCGTTCTCCTCGCATTCTTCTTTCACAGGAGTGTTTGGATATCTTGTGTTCTGTTTCTCCTGCTTCTTGAAGATTTCGACCTCATAATTCACAAGAATNNNNCTTTCAAAATTAGAGCTAGCCGGGCAAGGTGTGAAGCTTTTGTAGGAATAGAGGGAATGAAGGCGAAACAGAAGAACCACTAACCTTTTTGCGATGAGTTGTGACCGAATCCAGAGCACGTGAAATGTTAGATGCCTTACTAGGAATTGAAAAACCCAGGAGATCTAAACTAACGAGTGTAAAAGTTCTTCAGGCTCATGTTCTGTCATTTATTTTAAGGTGCTGCATTTAGTTGGCATCGCCAAGGCACTTCGGCGGAATTCCGTAGAATTGCTGCATTTCGACCAAACCAAACCTATACTTTTCGCTGAGTTTGGAAACAAAGCTGCCTATTAGAATCTTAGTGTAATAGATCACTTCATGTTAATTTAATTTTATATTTTTGATTATAAACTAGAACTTAATTATTCACTTTTAATGAGCGTTGCAGGACACCATGTCGGTGTCCACTTATTGCGAGCCGCTCATTAACTGCCTTTTTATTACTGGTCGATATTAGCTCCGATATTTTTTCACGTGGGTAATAAATTCTAAGCCAACTCCTTTCAGCCGAGAAAATCCGGTAATTTGGTCGGAGACTCATTCTTCGCGCTAACACAACAGTTACCTGGAAGATTGAGGAAGGTGACGTGATTAAAGCTAGCACACACTAGCTCAACTTCGTGAAATCTCGTAGTGAGCGTAGTGTTTCTACGTCCGCATCCGCCGCCGAAGGCGTATGTCCTTCGAGATGACGTAAACCTGGAACCAACTCTATCGCTTTTTTTCGAAGTTGTGACATGATTAGAAGTAGAACAACTTCGTCAAGTCTAATGGTGTTATCAGCTACTACACGTGCGACAAACGAGGAAGTTAAAATACACACGAGTAGCCCTATATAAGAAGTAGATTTACTTTTTCCTCAACTAATTGACTGAAATGATTTGAGGTTATGGTTGTGAAGAAACTTCTGACTGTGGTTGATTGCCGATCGTTTATTCGATCGTCATTCAGCTACTACTAATCACATTGGTGTTGTCTTGATTGTAGGGCGGACTGCAAAAGTCCCATATCTTTTAAGTTACTGTAAAGGACTCTTGCATTCATTGTATTCCTATACATGTCGTTGCTGCTGTTTTGATGGTCTTGTTTACACTAAAGGTCTAAGAAGACTTTGAAAAATTTTGAAAAGAAGCGAAGCACAACAATTTTTGCCCAAAACTTAGGTAATGACACCCGATGTAACATTATATGAGTCTAGGATTTATTATCGATGTTTAAGATGAGGACTTCCAACGCTACTGGATTTTCCCTTAATGGAAGAACGTATCTGTAACAACCTTGTGTATGCTGATTAGTGAATGTGCTAGATAGCACTCAGGTATATTTCCTTTTNACTTTTATAACTTTTAGCCCATTAGACAAAGACTCTACGAGTCTGCAAATCTGTCCCAATAAGATACATCTCCTCTTACTCTACCTGTCCGCTCTTTGTGAATATAACAGAACATTGATTTTAATATCGGGACTGTGGCTCTTTTGTTTGGTGGGATAAAGCGATTGAATAGGCAGCCTCTATTAAGTGCTGAGTGTACCGTTGATTCTTGCGGCTTCAACGCTTATGTCAGAGATTATGAAAACTTGAACTGCAACAAAATTTTTACGAGGTTCTCTTCACTCTTGGATAAATAATTCACGGTTTTATTGGTAAGCAAACCCGAAAATTTGACTTTTCTCAGTTCTTTATTTACGGTTAAGTGGGCGTTTCATCGGTTTTCGTTTTCGTAGCCTGATGAGGTAAACTTGACAACAATCTGCCCAACCAGACACCACCACAACCAATCTTCGCTTAGCATTTGCTTGTTTGATAGAAGAGTTTGTGAAAGTTATTTTAGAAAGTTTGACGGATTGCAACACATGTAGCACTTGTTAATGTTCTTCGTGCAGCACGAAGCCTTTGACGTATTACGCTTCAAATGTAGCATGAATGAGCGCGTATACGCCAAGGTAATGTTTTATCCATTTTTCTATACTTAGATTTTATACTGATTGATCTTGAACGCCGACTTCTGTTTCCTAAGAAACATACTGGACAGAAGAAAAAATAAACAGTTGGAGCAATCGGCTCTGAAGAAGGCGAACATATTAGCCGTATAAGAGAGGTAACAACCTCGTGTAAGCTTGTGAGTGGGAAAACACGTATGGCAAAGGTATGTCTGGAAATGCTTTTGTTGCACCATGATATCTTTTTAGCTAACAGTGTTTCAGGACCAATCGAGCAGCTCATAGCAACTATTCTCAGGATGGTTTATATTTCTTTCTGTATCTATTTCTATCTTTCTAATGCTGTACGTTTCTGTAGTGAGAATCACATGCACTGTTTCTCAAGTTACATAGCGAATGTCGTAGTACGTAAACATTTTGATTCCATCCTAAGGAGCTTCGATCGCTGTAAACAGTCTTGTTATGCCAATCTATTTTTGCACTCTGAGCTTGTTGGTTGTTATTAATAAAAATTTCCGGTGTCTGCACTACTCTCCGGAAAGGACTATACTTTTTCTAAATAAAAATTGACATAAATTGTGACAGCAGTGTTTTACCACTCCAGAAAGCATAGCTTCTTGTTCTGTATTTGCTAGAAGGGATTCGTTGACAGAATGCTATTTTTGATTGAAGTCACTCGCACAAACATGCTAGATCAGGATTGTGTTTTGAGTGAATTGATCATTGGCAGCAGGTTGAGGTGGCTAAATGCAAAGCGTAAGGTGGTCAATATTACTACGAGTTACTGGAATGGCTTGACCTTGTTACCCTTCCATCGTTTTGCAGATCGATGTTAGCTTTGTCACCAGAATTATTAAGTAATGCAGGCGGTTTTCTCTCCAAAGTTGGGCAAAGTTTTTACAAAAAGAGAAAAAAAACTGCGGTGACGAGACGACACAAAGATAGAGGTTTTGACAAAAAAAGGTTAAGATTGTGATTTCAACCTCAGCCTCAGCTTGACTACGTCCGCCGCCGATTTAGGCTCCCTAGATCGATCCCGTTGATGGGTGATTGCTGATGGCGCTGATCGATAGAACTAGCTGAGGAACAGGCGAAACGAAGGGCCAGCATGGTGTGGAGGTGAACGCGTTACTCCTCGGAAAGGACAATAGTGTGTTCGTTCCCCACCGCAGACACCTACGGTCCGGAGTTTTGCAAATATCTCACCATCGCCTTAGTTGTATTTCACATGATGCCCTGCTGCTGAAAATTATAGTAGGCAGCAAATAAAAGAAGAAAAAGGTTTAGACAAAAGGCCTATATGGGCACTGTAAGGGCGCAAGTAGTGCAGTGGACGGAGGCGCCCTGTAACACACGTGGAATCGTTCTCGGTGCATATGGCCCAGCAAGCTTTCCGTCCCTCCGAGGTCGGAAAATTGGTACCAGGCTTGTGTGGGAGGATAGCAGCACTGGCTCGATACATCGGTAGGCTACCGCAAGTTATTGTAAAGGCCGTGTATTCAATCACCATCAAACGATGCTTAATGAAGTCGAATGCATGGCACATCCCTCAGAAATTGACCAACGCCGCGAGCTTCATCCTTTATCCTTATGGGCCCAATAGTGGTGTCGATATTCAGTTTATTGGGTTGAGGAGGACTTTTTGCCGCAATATGCATAGTCATTCGATAACTTGTCGAAGGAGCAACGAATTGTGAATTGTGGGAGCAGAAAACCATTCTTTACATTCAGCAATATACAAATTCCTTTTTTTCGAAGGAGTTTATTTGCCGGTGATATAACCAACAATTAATCAACAACTATTGTTTCTTTTAGTAAATAGTTGCATGCATGCTATTTATACCCATGAAATGATAGAGCAAAATCTGCTTCACTTCCTTTCATTTTCACAATTTCTAGAGCTGCGTCAGCCACGTATAACGGCGCGAGGAGCGTTATTGGTTAAATTATTATTGTCGAAGGTTTTTAGTCAAGGTTTTGGTTAGAATATGTTGTTGGAAAGGTTCCGTGTAATACAGCGATCGGTGGCACCCTGCAATAGGTATGAGATCGAACCCCACGCTCCGTGCTCACCAAGCTTTCCATTTCTCCTGGGTTGGCAAATTGGTACCAGACTTGCCCGGGAGGGCAACAACACTTATTCTAAGCCACGAAGGCCACCATGAATCACTGCACAAGCTAGATATGCGTTCAACAAGCTCTAACGATGTTTAATGAAGTTGAGTGCTGGCACATCCATCAGAGATTGACGAACGCCTAGAGCTTTATTTTTTCGTGAATGCGGTATGTATTAAATGCATCATGTTACACTAAACGTCATACACAAAAAGTAATTAGTACGCGTAACTCATGCTGTACAGGTTTGGTCTACTTTAGAGAAAGGGTTTGCTTCTAGTAACTCTTCATTCACCATAATATACGCTCTTTAAGACGCCCACTCGTCAGTATCAAAAAGACTACGAATTCGTCGTTTTCAATCTCAGCAATCGCGAGGTTGTTAAGCAGCATACGTTTACTTTCATACAACAACACACATACAACACAACCGTAGCTGACGTTTCGGCAGAATCGCCTTCTTCAGAGCCGCTTTTTTCACCAGTCTTGCACCGAGGAAGAACAGCCACTCAGAGTCGCATATGGCTGAACGAGTGGCCAAAAATTTTTGTTTCGACGCAACCTCAACTAGGAGGTCGGGTACTCCTGGTAACTTTCGATACCGGGATTATACCGAGGAAAGCGGAGC